GAACAAACCATAGCTGCATCAGAAGTCCGTCAAATGGGGTAGATGATGAAATAAGTTTTGTTGTGGATGGTTATATGCATTTGTATGTTTCTGTTAGCGTGTTCTTTTGTTTTCATGATTGTAGCCATCCTTTTATTTATTTATGAGTCATTTGTAAAAGCTCCACTCTTGAAAATGTCATCAGTGTCTTCAGTTTGTTTGTTTTGTCTCTTCAAGCTACCAAGACTTTAATTAATATAAACACAAGTCCAAGAAAAACAGAAAATCCTGGTAGTCATTATATGGTCATAACGGTGGTTTCGTTTATGTCCCACTCTTTTTAGCACGATCAGGCTAATCTGAGTACAGAAGCTGCATCCTCTTCACTTTGAGAAACATCTTCTCTTGTGAGGAATGCAGAATTACTGGCACCAATGTTAGACAAATAAGCCTCCATGGAGCAGAGTGCATGTGTTGTCTCACAGCTGTGTGTTTGTGTGTGAGTGTGTTACCATTCAGTTTGATATTTTTCCTTTTTTGTAAAGCGATGATCGATTTATTTTTCGAACTTCTTGCTGTATCCAAATGTTGACGTTGATGCTTCTGTGTGCTGTGGTGAATTAGTGTGTCACAAGGCACTGCCAGGCCGAGCTGGGTGCACCATGTTGGTTCAGGGAAGGGCTTCTGTTTATAAGGTAATTAGAGTGCTTATGGTTCACCTCGGGTAACTGAGGTCAGACTAGTTTATGTCTAGATTTCAGGGGCCCCCCTGTAAGACGATATGCATTACTAGCACATTTAAATAACCTTGTGGTGAAAAAAAGGCACAGGTGACAAAACAAACAGGCTGTGTGTTGTCCTGATCACTCTGAACAAGTGCAAGTTTTCACAGTCTAGTGTGTGTGAAATCAAATGTCAGTCACAACATGCGTGTGCAGGCCTGTGACTCCCTAATATTCTTGTAGAAAAGTGGCATGAATGCACCTGGGAAATCTTTCTCCCTTGTTCTTTCACTCATGAATATGAATGAAATCCACATGTGTTTTAAATTTGTTTGCCGATTTGCATGAAGCACATGAGCGAACGGCAGGCTTGCAGGGGAGAGAGCTGTTGTTGTGAAAAGTGCCAAGGCTTTGTGCGTCAAAACTCGGCGGGGTTTTGTTTTGTGTGCTGAATCATAAAGTGCTTTGTGGTTAAGTGGCCGTGCACAAACTCCTTAGTAGTTGTTGTTGGTAAGAGAGCAAAGAAGCATTCATGTTGTGATCCCTGACTCTCCCCAAGTGTGGAGCGTGATTAGGATATGAGCATTTTCTGCTATTAAACAGTGTTAGAGGAGCAGAGGTAAATTGCTAAATAGTTTTTGGTGAATCAGGAGTTGTCTTGGTACACGCTGCATTTATAACAGTTAAGGTATCCGTCATCACACTTAATCCCAGCACTTCAGCGCTTCAGTATTACACTTGTGTAGACTACAAACACTAGCTACAACCCTAACCACTACACAATGTAGGAATTTGACAGAAATAGGCAGTAATATCAACACAGTGCATTCGTTTTTGAGCATGTACTTCACTATATGGCATGTACATTTTTTGTTATCATGTATTATCCATTTATCTCTGAGGACTTCCATTAAGGAGTTGTGGCTGATTTTTCACAATCAGGAAATAAATCACGTGGATAGTTTGAGGGTATTTTATTGCCTTAGTGCACCAACCTTAAACCCAAGCATCCATCATCCCGTGTCTTTACAAAGCATGTTGTTTTAACTTTTAGACAGGTCATGTCTTTACCATCACCCTTTATCTCTTAGTTTTTGTGTCCACACATGTCAAAATACAAATGTTTAACCAAGTGGTGTCATAATAAATCAGTAATTTACATTTAGCCAATTTGTAAAAATGGAAAATGTCAGATAATACGTGTTTAAAGTGCTCTTTTATCAGCAAGGAAACCAAATACCAGTGCAATTACACTTGTTTATTTAATAATATAATGAGAGACAGCACGGCGAGGTATAAAATGATAGAGATAATGAGCATTTCCCTGGATGCTAATTTAATAAAACAAAAGATGCAGCTCAGTAAAAATGAACTTGAACGCAGCTTGGGATCCAGTTTCCATGGGATGCTGTTGCCTCTTTCGTGATCCTTTGGAGACGGACATAGATGTTTGTTTTCTCATGATTGTTCAGCTAACCCTGGTTATTTTGCTAAGCTGGTTATTTGCTATAAGTGCCTTCTGCCCTCAGGGGGATGTTATTACGACATGCGATATTGGGTCACGCAGGAAGCCATCCTCAGATCTACTCTCTCGGGGTGTCTAAATCCAAGCTTCTCCCAACATTCAGTATGCTGGGATGCAATCAACATAAATTGAAAGACAGATGTGCACAGGTCTGCTGTATATGTTTTCTGTACAATAATTTCATACCTGCTTTACAAACTGATTTACAGTACAAATATGACAAGGAAAGATTAATAAGAGTAGCAGCTCTTGAAGTTGCCAGTTGTTTATAATCAGCGTTTCTGTGACAGCGTGTGTGTGTGTCTGTGTGTGGTACACGCATAGATCTGTTCCTGAGTCAGTATGTTTCATACTATGCGGATCAACAATGGTGGTCATCTTGACTGATTTCAGGAACTGATCAGTACCTCATTTATATGCTAAAACCCCTCTCTCTGATGTTCAGAATCACTGCACTCAATTCAACAACCCAGCAAATCATATGCACTCAGTGAAAAATACATCAGCGCACCATATTTGAATTCATACATAGATGCGTTACACATGGCCTGCTCTTTCCCCATTAAGAATCTCTTGAGTGGTGATTGTTCCTTTTGTATGATAATCACTTGTGCATGAGTTAAAGTGTTAAGTTTGAGGTAAGGGTTCAAATCTGGTTTTTGCAGGTTAATTTCCTCCTGTGGAAACCTGAAGAGTCACAAATGTTTTTTTTAAATAAAAAACTGCCATAGTCAACTTACAGGGGGATTGTCCTCTGAATTATGTTGAAATTCAAAGAAGTGTAATTAGACCTGAGCAAACATGCAGAAACAGACACAGCAACGAGATCTGCCGACAGCTGTTTGTGTGTGTGTGTGTGTGTGTGTGTGGTTATGTGTGCATGTGCGTGCATAACAAAATTAGTTTTAGATTTCTTCAAACACGTTCATATAAACAGCCTGAAATATTGGAACAGCAGTTTAGTTTTTACTTTTCTTAGAAGCTTGAAAGTCAGTGTTTGGTATGACCACCTTTATTCTTCAACACAGCCTGAATTCTCTTAGCGAGCTTTCTTCTAATTTCTTTAAGCAGTCTTCAGGAATAGTTCTCCCAGCTTCTTAAAGGACATTCAAACGTCTTCTTTGGATGTTGGCTGCCTTTTAGTTTCATTCTCTGTCAAGATGATCCCACATTGCTGTAATAAGTCTGAGGCCTGTGCTCTGAGGAGGCCAATCAATTACTGATAGTGCTCCTTGTGTGTGTGTTTTTTTAATCCAGGTATGCTTTTACTGCACTGGAAGTGTATTTGGGATTATTTTGCTGAAAAATGAAGCTGTTGCCAATCAGATGCTTTTAAATAGTGTTGTCAACACGTTCCATCAGCATTCACAAGATCGTTGTTGCAGTCCTAAACATGACAGAGCGCCAAGCAGATGGCTATAGAAAATGACTGTTTTACCTCTTTCCTGATGTCTTCCATATATTTATGACCCAGAAATCTTACACTTGGATTCATCTTTCCATCAGACCCTTTACCGATGATTTTCAGTCTAGTTCTTGGGTAATTTGGCATACCTCAGCCTTTTCTCCCCATTACCCTGGGGGAATGGGTTCTCAACAGCCACCCTCACACTGAGACCATTTCTAATGAGGCTTTAGTCAACAGTAGATGGATCAACTGAAGGACCTGATGTGTCTCTCAGGACCTGTGTCATGTGTTTTCTGGATTTTTTCCTATTTCTTAAGGACATGACTTTTAGATACTGTTCATCTGCTGTAGATCATTTTTAAGGCCTGCCACATCTTCTTTTGTTCTCCAGTTGTCCATTTTTTTAAGTCCACACTGTACATTATGCTACGATATGGCAGCTTTTCAGCTAATAGCTCTTTGGGAATCAACTTGATTGTGCAAAAAATACTATTGTATGTCTGTCAAACTGTGTTATCTTTGGGAGTTTCATAGATTCAATCAGCTAAAGAAATGGAAACAAATTATGTGTTCTTACAACAGACTGCTAGTAACAAAGATACAATTTGAAATTGGCTCTTTGCTAAGTTTTCTGTTATGTGTAAAAACAACACTGGTTCATCCTGTAAGTTAAGAGCCTTTTTTATGTTTCAGTGATTGATAGGTCAGTGTTAAGAGGTTCAATAAGAATTCCATTTAAGTAATTGTTTTATTGGTGCTGAAGTACTACAGTATTTTAGACCCGTCAGACTGTGCTATCTTTGGTATTTGTTGTTGATTCAGCTAAGGAAAGGGACAAATTGTATCTTTTGGGACAGGTTGCTAAAGTGCCCAAAGGTACAGTTTAAATGTTGTTCTTTGTTAATATTTTTGTTATCTGTAGAGAAAACATTGGGTCATCCCTGTATGTTAGGGGCCTTTTGTAATACTTTAATTATTCATAGGTCACTGTTAGGCTTAACACACCGAAAACATTCCTCTGAAAATGTTCGGGTACAAGGAGTGGACTGAACATTGATATACCTTTATTAGTCCCACAAGGGGAAATTTCATAAGGCTGCCGACCTATTGCACACAATGGCGGCGCCATCTTACCCTCCATCTTACCCATGAGCGGAAAAGTATTTTTCGACCTGAGGAAGTGTTGCTCAAGATCACTTAAAAAAATTGTAAGTCTGGTTCCTTGGAAGCAAAATACAAAGAGAAAAAGAGGAGCTCATTTCTGTATATTCTCACAGTACTGTATATTTTATGTAAATGAGTGACCTTTGTGTATTAAAGTAGTGAATTTGTCTTCTTATGCACATGTTCCTTTGATATTTTACAGAAAGAAGTGTTGCAAGGGCTTTAAGTTTGTTCTGGGCCAGTGCATTCCTGAAGGTATGAAACTGGATATCTCTCCTGTGCTTCTCTGATTATTTTGGGAATTCTTCCCAAACCCATCCAGTCTTTAGTCTTATAATATATAATAATAAAAACTTAATGGTAGATGGATCTGAGATGCTCAGTTTCTGTTTTCTTGCTCATACTGACAAAGCGCTTCATTTATGTCCAGACTATGACGTATGCGCCGGCGCCCCCTGTGAGCAGCAGTGTACCGATCATTTTGGCAGAGTGGTGTGTACCTGTTACCCCGGCTATCGCTATGACCGTGAGCGTCACAGAAGGCGAGAGAAGCCTTATTGTCTGGGTGGGTACACCACATACATATTAATCAGTGTCATCCTTTAAAATAATGTTTGATTATTTGATCTTAACGGTCATTTAAAAGAAGCCTGTGCTCCTTTTGTTTTGTTGTACTTGTACAAAGACAAAATACCTTACGATTAATATTTTTTAGATATATTTCTTTAAATGATCATGAGGTTGTGCTTGTCAGTAAAACCCGAAGTGACACTTTGTCTTTCTTTTATCTTCCTCCTGTCACCGCATGATGCAGACATCAATGAATGCACAGACAAAAACATGACTGCATGCTCTCAGATCTGCATTAACTCTGTGGGGAGCTACAGGTGTGAGTGTGAGAAAGGCTACTTCCTGGAAGAAGATGGGAAAACATGCACCAAGGGGGAGAGAGGTGAGATTGACATTTTCTCTTCAGCCAAGGTCACCTCACAGTCAGACGTGCCCTTGAATAAAGAGACTGACATTTTGTCTTTATTCAAGGGCACCTCTGACTGTGACGTGAAGCTGACAGCTTGTTATTGGTGTATGTGAGCGAGAGAGGGAGGCGGAGGAAGAGGAGGGGTACTGCAAAACACAGACACCTGGGAGTCATTAGACATCTTCGACCCTTGTGCATGTCAGAATGGTTCTGTCTCCTCAACGTGCTGCTGCCCCTTTGACTCCTGATCTTTCCTGATTTGCTGGGTGTATTTGAAGAAAGCTCAAATGTTGTAGGCCAGCGGTCCCCAACCTTTTTTGCGCCACGGACCGGTTTATGCCCGACAATATTTTCACGGACCGGCCTTTAAGGTGTCGC